GGACATGTTCTCTTTCCTCAAGGCCGATGAACTCTGTATTCACTCTTTCAAAGGAGGAAGCTTGAATTAACAATTGGTTAGCAAGGGTATCCTTCCTGTTTTTACTCTTGTTGAATTGGTTGATTGCTTCATTGGCTTGGAAAATATCATCGGTCAGAGTTGGTAACTGGCCTTTAAAGGTAGCAATAGTGGCTTGAAGATCAACCGGAAAGTCTGGGTACTGGCTGAGTGTAGAAAGCACTGCTGTGAGCTCACTTTCAAAATTAGGAAGATCAGCAACATCCCTTTTCAAGATCTCAAGTAAAGATTTTTTGGTCTCTTCTAAGGATTGTATAGGGATATTGGTTGAAGTGACTGGAGTGGCTCCAGAAGATTCACTTCCTTTCTCTTCGGTCACTGAAGCCACCACATCCTTAAAAAAATTGCTCAAGGCCAGTAGGGATGAAGCAGGAACTTTTTGTGGAGGAAATAAAGGAATAATTTGAGTTTTCTCATACACAACCTGACAAAATGAGGAAAGATTAGATCTTAAGTTTTTTTTTTTTTGGGGACATGAGATAGTCAATACCTTAGATGATTCGGCTATGTCTGTCACTAAGAGTGGCTGATGACTGGTTTCTGGAGGAGGAAATTCTGGCTGAACCGCTGTGCTATCTCCCTGGGATGAAGTTTTAGCAGGAGTGACTTGAACATTGAAGTGCACCTCAATGGGATCATGAAAATCCTTCAGAGGGCTGAAATTTCTAACTGGGCTATAGACCAAGTCAAGAAGAGGAGATTGCTGCAAAAGAGAAGAAATTAAGGACCATATTAATTGAAAAGTTTGAAAATTTCAAGTACAGTTTTCTTTACCTCTTTTTCATCTGAGGAATGATCAGAAGGAGTGTCAGCCACATTAATTACGGGATCATCGGCCACGTCTTCTGTAGGATGAAGGCTTTCTAGATTTTCTTCCACTTCCTGTTTCTTACGTGTGCTCAGTCTTGTTCTTTTTAAAGTGCCATGAGCAGTTGATTTCTTTCTTTTTCCCTGGAGATGGAAGCTTTATTAAAGTTTGTCTCGGCCAATAATAGTTGTGGCCGAGAATTAGAAATCAATATTGGCTAAGTATTTTAACAATTGAGCCGATATGATTGTCTTTGTGTGCTAATAGAAAAAAAAAAAACTTTTACCTTTGGAGGAATTGGAGGAACATCAGGGATGATGGCTGATTCAGTTATTGAAGGCTGAGGAGGTTGGCTGGAGGAAATCTCATCATCTTGGGGCTCAACGTCTTCTGGATTAAGCGAGGCTGATAAAGTTCCACTGTCTGAATCTGCGAAAAAAAAAAAGAAAAAGAAAAAAAAAAGGGGGGTAAGAGAATTTCAATTAAAAGTTTATATATATATATATATATATATATATATATATATATATATATAAAAATAAATAAAGGAAGATCGTGCCCTTGAGGAGGCTGACAGTGGCTTTGGCCTTAGCTTTTCTCTCTTTATTGGTCCTTGTTGGAGCATCTGTTGGCTGAGAGAAAGGGAGTTTCTTGGCCGTTTGTTTTTTATCTTTGGGAGAATCTTTTTGAGGCATCTTCTTTGGGGTAACGGCCCGGGAAATTACGAATGCCCCTTCAAAGGCCACAGATATGAACTTGAAAGATTCCAATATTTTAACAACAAGGGATTGGCTATCAGCCGTCCTTGTCGAAGTAATGTAAGAAGACCACCATTGATCAAAACTAGAATCTGAGGCTGGGTTTTTGATGAAGGGTTGGAATTGGAATCCGGCTTGCAGATTTGAGAACCGGGAGGACACGTTCTTTACATAGGAGTCATCTGGAAATACCACACGCCTATGGAAGTTTTTGTTGAAAGAGAAATAAGGGGGCATGTGGATCATTTGAGTCAGACCAAATTGCCTAGCAAGTTGGTTTGGATTGTAGAACTCAACTCCAACTTTTGAGTTTACTGTGCCTAGAGGGCCAGTGTTGAAGTGAAGGTCTCTTGAAAGTAAGAAACTAGCCCACATGGCCGAATGCTTATCAGCTGATTTTTTGGTAGACACTCCTTGAGGAGGAGTCAGCCATCGAGGTGCTTGTGAGCAATGAGAAAATGGAAGGAATTGGCTGATAGTCCTCTGTTCACAACCGGAGTAAAAGAAATTGAAGCAATCTCCAAACGAATGGGATTTAGGTACGGCTGATGCGTAACTTACAGAAAGTAATGGGTCATTGGCCGAAGGCCTTACCACAGGTCCGAGTTCAGGAAAGTACACTTGAAGCCAAATTTGAAATAACCAGAGGGGACCACCATAGCGTCCGAAGTTGGAGGTAAGCAAGTCATAAATCCTTCTATATAAATGAGAAAGCACCAAGGGGGCAAGAGCAAGGTGTTTACCTCTTGAAAGGGCAACGGCCACATGAATGTAATCCTTTGTGACTTGAAAGGCCGGTACGCATAGAAGAAACTTGTTCAGCCACGCCAACAAGAAGGCAATATGTTCAGCATCATTCACAGGGACGCGAGGATCCATGGTGGAAGTTAAGTATTTACCATAAAAGGATTCAGATGATTTGGTTCCAGTTTGCTTTGAAGGGAAGATGAAAGGAGAATCCTTTTCTACCAATAAGGTACTTACATCAATCCCAAAGGGTTTGAGGCCGGTTAGATAGCACACGTCTTGAATGGTTGGAGCCATCATGCCACATTTCAAGTGTAAGGAGTTGGTGGTGGTCGACCAATTAAACATGGCTGCTATCATCAAGGCTCTGTCTTGGGCGATGTTAGTTTTACTTAGCTGAATGGCATCATATATGCCACAATCCTTCCATATTTCTCCCTTCACAGCTCCAACTCGGTCGACCCAATTGATCCAAGCATCATTTGGGCTATGCCATGTTCTAAAATGAAAGTGTGGCAAACTGCCATTTTCATTAGGAGGGAAGGTTTGAAGGAATGGAAGAACGTCGGCCGAAGGGTAGAAAGGTGAGATTGATGAAGGAGCTTCATCAAGGAAAGCAGGACCTAAGCCTTTGAAGTCAGTACGAAGATCGATAAGGGTATTGAGACAGTATTTGTAAGGAGATAGAGTTTTTAGGGATTTTTCTATGATGTTGCCATGAGTTGAAGGATCGGTAGGTTGAGGGATAGAGGTGGAATCAGTTGATTTAGTTTTCTTAGGAGCCATAGAGGACGTCAGGAACGATTTCGCCGAGAAAGAATTTCAGAGATAGAAAGTTTAAGGAAAGAAGAATGATTTAGAGATTAGAGGGTATCAAGCTAAATACTTGTTGGATGTAATAGCGGATTAGTGTAGTCGCCGCTTTAATTGGGAAAGATAACCATTAAAGCAGGTGGTTGAGAAAAGGATTTATTACTAAAATTTGAATTACAATTTTAGGCCGATTCAAATTCCAAACGCTTCGTATCATAAGTGATAAAAGCCTTTGAAATTCAGGGGGCATTTGTTGGCACCAAAACTTGGCAGCCACTTCAGCAGCGACGTGGACCAATGGGAACCTGATAAAGGTTGAGCATGTCCAAGAATGGTCGGCCAATGGAGAAATAGTAGGAGAAGATTTAGGAGGATATCTATATATATAATCAGCCACCTCACCAAAAGGGTTGTTACTAAACAACCGAGATTTGTGTTAATTTTAAAAGGAAATTTCGTCGGAAATAGAACATTGGGAGAGGTTGGCTGAGGTGATATAATTAAGTTCCTAAAAAATAGGGATTTAGTTATAAGAAAGGAAATTGAATCCTTATGGAAATGAAATTCAAAAAGAAAGGGGCAGCCACGTGAGCATATGGGTCAAGGCTATAAATGGTTTTCCAGCCATTTAAAGGAATATTTCAGTCAAAACTTGAAGAAAGAAGTTGCTAAAAATCAGCAACTTACTAGCAATCTTCCAGCAGCTTTCTACCGACTTCTTAGTAATTAATATTTTCTTCAACAAAGGTATTTTATTTGAAGTAAGACGAAACAAGAGGAGAAGAGATGTGAAAGACTACTGGAATACGACTTATTTTCAGCAACAAAGTGAAGCAAATCAAGGAAAAGAGAGATTTCAGTAAAGACTTTCCCATTGAAACTGGAGCATCGATATTGAAGGCGAGGAATGTTGGGCCGTAGCTCGGTTTGAATTTCAAAAGAAAAAAATGATTGAAGCAAAAGATATTTTCTAGCAATTAATTAGGAGAATAGGTTGAGATAGAACTTCTATAAATAGAAGTATTGTATTCCATTCCAATCTGTCCAGCACCACCACAAAACAAGCATTTCAACTAAAAATGTTTTCAATTGACTCTACGTCATTTTTTCCTATCAGTTTCTTTATTTCAATTTAATGGCAATTGATTAGATCATTATCAACTATTTCAATTCAGCCATTTACTTTCTTTCAATTTCAATTATGCCAATTTAAATTACGCAATTTTAGTTAGACTTTTAATTCAATGGCAATTGATTAAATTCTTGCCATTGAATCGTAGTGACAATTGATTAAATTCTTGTCATTACTTGGCTGATGGCAATTGATTAAATTCTTGTTATCACGTTTCAGTGGCGATCGATTAAATTCTTGCCATTGTGTTTGGCTGATGGCGATTGATTAAGTTCTCGCCATCACGTTCGGCCGGCGATCGATTAAGTTCTTGCCGCCTGTCTTCACTCGGCCATTCCATCCATTCAAACATTCATCAGCCGTTGCATTTCTTTAGACACTCTAAAAAGTCCTTGCTACAAACAAGGCATAAAAGAACCTTGCTGGGAGTTCTTACTAGTCTCTCTCCCACACAATCGCCTGAGAGTCAGCCATCGGAAAAAGGGATAGGCTGGTGTTCAATTACATATTTTGGGTATTTTGTACAAATACTCTGGCACGCCCGCGAAGAGTCCATCGACCGGCGTAGGGAACAAAAACCGCGCGAACAGAATGCAATCAGTAACTACTACTTCATTAAAGGAGTTCCAACCAGAACATTAATGGTACCTCACAAAACACATACTAAGTTAGAAATATCCGACATTCAAAACAAAGAATTACTTCATTAAAGGAGTTCCAACCAGAACATCTCACAGAACACATACTAAGTTAGAAATATCCGACATTCAAAACAAACCACAGATTTCATGGAGAGACCCAACCCCACCTCTTCGTCATTCTTTCTGTCTGACGACCATCCATTTTCTCGTGCTCCATTCGGCCAGAAGAAAATTAAAACCCAACACAAAATTAAAAGTTTAGTGCGTTACTCCTCGTAAAGGCAGCCACCGATCCAGGCTTTCACTAATTCCACGCCTCGTCGGAGTCGGAGTCGGATTCGGCTTCGGCTTTGGCGTTGTGCTCTGGGATCTCCGGCACGTCTCATCCGACTCGCTGCTACTCTGGAAGAAACACAAGATTATTGATTCAGTAATTCGGTACCATTATCACTTACGTACTGGTGTTTATGTATTAGCTTCATATTCTCTCCCATGCACTGGCACACGACTTTATCATTCAAACATTCTTTAATTCAAACAATTGAAGACATAAAAATTTAATGATAACTAATTAAAAAGAAGAAATATCAAATAAAAAAACAAAGAGAAAAATGATAGATTCATGTCTTAAGTGTTCTAATGTTTATTAGTAATTTAAGTGTATCAAGAACTGAACCTTTGTCATTGTATGATTCACGATCAACAGTACATAAAACGTTATATGACTAACACACCCCACACAACCCCTAACCAAGGATGATAAGGTTCATATACCGGATGAGGCCTATCCTCCCTGCCCTTAAACCCCTAATGAAGCATTCCCCAAATCCCAAATGTTCATAAGACACAACATCAGCAACCATCAGCAATCAAGCAACTTCATGGAACAGAACCCCACCTCTTTTCATTCCTTCTTGTTCTTGGTCAAGATCATCCATTTGATCTTCATCCAAAATTAAAATCACAGAGCACAAAAATAAAAATTGAACCACAGAAAATAAACGCACATTTCCTATTAAAAAGGATTGAAGAAAACTATCTTGGTCTGCACCGATCGAAACTCAACTAACAAATGGATGATCGAGAAGAAGGAATGAGAAGAATGGGATCTGTTCCATGAAGTTGCTTGATTGCTGATTTTTTGTGTCGAACATTTGGGGTTTGGGAAATGCTTCATTAGGTTGAGCTTTCTTGCCTCTCCTCCGTCTCACTGCTACTCGGTAAGAAACGACGCCTTCGGAGAGAGCTGTTCTGCCCGTCTCTGAGAGCTGTTCAGGCTGAAACCTATCCGATCTTTGGTGACTCAAATCTGGGGGAGTAATGACACTTTATTTTCCAATAATAAATAACAGCAAAAACAAAAAAATCTTTAAAATAGATCCACCAGAAAAAAAAAAAAAAAAAAAAAAAAATGGAATTGGACGCTTTTACACTTTTACTCAAACATGAGTTGTCAAAATATTATGAAATATATGAAAGAGTATTTCAATCATCTCATATTTGATTTTAAGGTTTTGTCACACAGAATCAACACACAAACAATTCTATTAACATAAATTCAACAACACATTTTATGAGCAATAAATTCTAATTAAACAAAAAAATTATTATATACCTTTACCGATACTGCTCATTCCAATTATTTTCCTCTCACAAGATATAAACCTAATCTGCATTCAAAAGAAAGTTCGTCACATACAAATTTCAGAGCTCAAGTAAATAATCATAAATAACATAAGACAAACTTGAAATACAAAACTTATCAAGGAATACAAATAAGAGATCAACCAACAAAAAATGTTTAACATCCCACAAATGACTATAAAGAGAGCAAATGCTTATAATATGGAGTTGTAATTATGTAATAAAATGATTCGAAATAAAAATAAAGAAAAATGACTGTAAAGAGAATGAGAGAAAAGATAATTACCGGGTCTACTTGATGAAAAGCAGAGAGAGCAAATGAATGCTTGAACAAGTGAACCATGAGGGTATGGAGAGATATCGAGAATTTTAGAGAGAGAAAATGTGGTAGTGGTGGGTGGGTTTTGTTAATGGACCTGACCTCCAAATTTTAGAGAGAGAAAGATAATGTGTGAGAGGAAACGGCGAGACAGGTGGAAATACACCGCCGGCGAAGCTGATCGGAATAGACAATCGGATAGCATACAAACCGGCACCGAGAGATCTGTTCAGAACACAAGGGCACCGGCGAGACAGGTAGAAAGTGAGACGAGAGAGTAGATTGGCAAAGTGATTCCTCTCTGATATTTGAGACGGGGAGAGAGTGACTCACAGATCTGCAAACGAGAGAGAGGGGGATGGACATATAGAGAGAGAGATGAGCCCAATAAATAGAACAGCTGGCATTACCTACCCGGATACCCTAAATTAAGTTGCCAATATTATATATATATATATATACGTAGTAGCATAACTATACAATATATATATATATATCATATATCGAATACAGGACAACTGGGCATCATAAGGCAAGATCCGGATCCAAGGCAAGCAGGGGTTTGATTTGATTTTGAATCAATTGCCAAGGAAAACACAGTGGTTCTCTTTTACTGAAGTTATGATGGAGATTCGCTCACACAGTTACACAAGCAAGAAAAACTTTGAATGTCTATTCTGCCCTTGTAATTGAATTTAAAGACCATATGTGAGTGGGCCAGTGGACAAACTTGATCATATAATTTATATAATTTCTTATTTATTATTATTATACATTAATTTGTCGTCAGTGAGTAATTTGTTGTGAATTAATAGCCTATATGAGTACACTTGGGTCCACCCCTCAACTTAGTACAAATTGGCCATTTAATTCATTAACTAATTAAATTGCGTGCATGTGAAATTTATAAAAATTAATTATCGTTATTGTTTAACTACTCTAGGTTTGGCGGAGGTTAGCTCACACCATGAGGAGCACAAAGGTGCCCACACCATGGTGCACAATGTTATGTCTTCACTCTTCATGTTGGGGTTGGTTGTAATCAACCACTCTGCTCAACAAGTCAGTAATCAATGAATTAATTATGGCTTTCGCTCTGCTTCGCCGCAATGGAACCGGAACATCATTGTCTAGGAAACCCTACATAGACGACAACTGTCTTGTGCCTCATGGGCTTGTTAAACTTATGGCCTGGGCGTTGTTTGAGGCTTAGTGTCACGGGTTTAGAATTTCAGCATCACTCAAGCTATTTTTGTACGGTACCAAAACGTTACTTTTACTCTTACAAGTACTTGGTCAGCCTAACTTCCGTGCACACCTTAACCAACACACTCTCTTCGTGCGCTTAATAGTATTGTAGTGGCCCTCGCCCTCTCCTCGGCTTAGCTTGCATACTCACACACACTAAGGCACTTAAGTTGGCAATGACAGAATATTTCTATTACTTCAAAGAATGTTTTGTATAAGGTTAGCACTCAAACTCTGTACAAGGTTCTCAAGACTCACTCTAGGACTTGTTGGCTACAAAATGAAGTCCTACTTCTATTTATAAGCATCCATATCCCTAATGGATGGCTAGGATGCATTCTAACCAACGGTGGAGATCGATTCTCTAGACTCTTCTCTCACCTTCTTCACACTTCCATACTTATCTACTAATATCTACAACATTCTAGAACTCTCCATACTACTCCACACAATTCTGGAGAACTCTAAAATATACTACACATATTTAGAATCTTCCACACAACTCTAGACAACTCCGGAAGACTCTAGAAACTCTACTCGTCATGTAGTTGCCATGCAGCGTCCTCCTCAGCATCTGCGTGTCGCCTGCGTGGCACAACCTCCATAGGCGAGGCGTGACATTAGGCTAAATTCTTTTTCTATTTATACAATATATTTACCTTCCCAGAAAAAAAAAAAAATTTGTAAAAATATTGTTACCATGAAAATCTTCTACTTTACAGGCTATGATATGTCTATCTCTATTTTATAAAATGATGAAAATGGTTATTTAGCACATGAATAGTGTGATATGCACCATAAACATACTATATGGGTGTTTTTTGCACTTTACCCTATATATTATTATTGTTTTGAATCTTTTGATCTTAACGAGTATGTTTAATTGAGATCGTAATTTGATCGTGATTTAAATAGTCTAATGACAGTAGGTGATTGAACAACTATTTGTTTATTTTCCTCCCAGTAAAGAATGAACACCTATTTACTGCTATGTAATAATATATATATGTAGATATATATTTGTGAAAATTTATTGCAAATTATAAAGTTTAAAACTAATTAAATGTATATAATAATAATAATAATAATAATAATAATAATAATAATAATATCTTTAATTTAATTTTTAATTATATATTTAATAAAAAATGATAACTATATTAAAATTTAATTGAAAATAATTTTTATTCTTTATAAGTATAAAAAGTCCTGAGGTTTTTATTTCATATGATATGTACATTAATCTAACAATTGTGAGAATAAATATTTTCATGAGATACATACATATATATATATATATATATATATATATATATATATATATCTCCATTTGACCAGTAAATTAAAGAAATATATATATTAGAACTTTTTAACTCAAGAGTGGTATTAGTCCTAGGGAACGTAAAACTCTCAACTTAGGGAGATAATATATACATTGTTAGGGAAAATATATAGAGATTTTTTTTTTTGGAAAGGTGAGAGAAAATTTTTAAAAGCGGGTTAAATATAGTTAATTTACACAACACTCATATATTATGAAATTATTAGCATACACACAAGGGGTGCAACTTGGGTTGAGTAACCCGAACCCAACCCGAACCTAAACCGATTTTTTACGGGTTTAGGCAATCATTTTTACAATTAGGGTTAGGCTTAGGTTAAAAAATCTCAACTCAAATTTAATTAGGGCTGAGCTTGGGTTGAAAGTGCTAGCAATCTGAACTCGAATTCTAATATTATTTTCTTAAATATTTTAACTTTTAAATAAATTATATATAATATTTAAACTATGATTACATGTTTTTTATTAAATCTTAATTTATTGTACGTTAATATTTAGGAGAATTAATTTTTTTTAAAATTTGTTTGTAATTTATTAAAAATCTACAAAAAAAAATCTTTAAACTTCTTCTTCTTTAAGAGTAATTTAATCTAAAACTAATTCAAGATCATATTAAATTTTCAATATAAAGATTAGCCATATGAGTAACTCGAATTAACTCAAAGTTTTAACCCGGAATCTAACCCCGAGTTGCAAGCCCAAATTTAAAAGTACAAGGATGGGTTCGGCTCAAGTTAAGTAGTTAAGATTGCGTATAGGGTTAGGGTCGGGCTTGAGCTTAACATCTTATATGGTAGATTGAGCTTAAGTTATACCTCAAACCTACTCGGGTTGCAGCCCTAATACATACCCCTTTGGGCATTTTTGGAAGAGTAAAGGGCAAAATGGATATTACAACATTACTTTATGTTAAATTTCTACTTGTTGAGTGTTTCCGCACAATGTTTAAAGAATAATGGAGTTATTAACACACTTTTTAAAATAGTGAGTGAAAGTGTTACACGGAGTATATTTAAATGGTGTTTTCTGCACTTCACCTTATAATAAAAGATACTCCCTCCATCCTAATTTAAGTGTCGTTTATTGTAATGTTTCCGATTTTTCCTATTTTCTATTTTTCAGGATTTTTCGATTTTTCAGGGTTATTTTCGTTCAGTCTCGTTTTACGTGTCGGACACCGTGTGGTGTACCGGATGAGTTATAGGAGTTGGTTGGAGCATTTTCTTGAGTTCAAGACTCTTTGAAATGCATTAGTTGCCATTTTGGCATTTTTTCATTTTTCGGGCCGGGAGGTCCCAAGTGGGATCCGCAACCGGAGTTGTGGTGCACAAGGATTATTTTTCCGGTTTGATACATCTCATGCATTATTATATTATGCATAATTTCTTAGTTTTTATATTTAATTGTGCTTGTAATGTGGTTAGTATACATACATACATACATGTATGTATGTATGTATGTATGTATGTATGTATATATATATATATATATATATATATATTAGTAAAAGAAGATTTATATTAAGTTGTGGGACCCACCCTTACATCATATCCTTACAAATGACCTTATGGTCATTGATTGACCATATTTCTCATCTCTTTGATTACGCATAATTCTTTCTCCCTCTCAGTTTCATTTTTCTTTTTCTTTTTGCCACACTTTCAAGTTTAGATCTAGGCTACCTTATTGAGATTTGACTTTGCCATTGAAGGCAAAGTCGACGAGCATGACGAGAGTTTCACATTGATCAGAGCCAAGTTGCATTTGGCTATCCTTGGATTTTTGATTTCTTGGGCTGTTTTGGGGGTTTTCTTCATCTCTTGAGGCAGGGGATGTCTAAGGCCCAATCTCTGTGATTTTTGTGATTCAATTCTCTATATTTGATGTAGAACATGTTTAATTGTAGTTATTGTTGAGTCTTGGTTGTGATGTTGTATATGATTTGTAAATCTATATGATTTTCTATGTTGTAAGTGATATGTGTGTATATGATTTATTGATATGATATGAGAAACATACTTAAGTGATTTTATTCTTACCTTATATGCTTAATTTACTAAATTCTTGTTATTAGAAAGCATGTCATGTTTCTATGAGAATTTTCTTGTTAAGCGTGATATGTGGTTAAGGTTTGAATAAGATATATGTGAATGTGCATTTGGTATGATATTAAAAGCATGCCGCATTCAAGCATTGCATTGGGTAAGAAATGGGTAAAACTCTTTTTAAAATGAAATGAAAAAAAATTATTTTTGGGGAAAAGATTTGAAAATGGTTTGCGAAAACCCGGGCATCTAGGAGTTGCCTAGTGGTTCTTGGCATGAATGTGATCTAGAAGGAATTAGAGAGAGATCTTAGAGTAGTTGAGCTACCCAGGCCCGAAACGATGCCTTGGAGATGCCATGTGGCCGGGGATAGCTAGCCAATCCTTCTCTCGTGACGCCATAGAGTTGTTATGGGTCGGGTTGCATTAACGGTTTGGAACGGTAAAACGGAAATGTTTTAGAAAACGGGGAGTAATATTGGCATGTCATTACATTACATTGGCATGCATTGTATACATATGGTTGGATGGCCTGTATTGTTGTTGTTGTTGTTGTAATTATTGTGTTCCCCCGCATGGCATGATCCCATATTTCTTTTACGCTATACTTTGTGTGGACTCACGGGATCATTAAGAGGTGTGTCTTAGGCACCTCCTACTGAGCCGTTGTGCTCACCCCTTCTTTACTATCTTCAAGATACGGGAAGGAAGTAGCAGACGATGTTCCACCATAGACTTAGACGGGAGAAGAATGTTATTTTTGCTATCTTTTGTAATTGAATCCTGTATTTT